CGCCGGTCTGCACGCTCAAGACCCAGGCGCTCTCCTGCTTCCTCAACCCTCCGTTCTGTTGGGTGTTGAGAGTTCATCTGCTTCGGTTCGACCCTACAGTGTAGAGCCCCAGAGCAACTACCCTGCTAACACCAAACCTCCGGTGTCCGTCAGCCAGAGCGCGCTTCCTCCGGTGGAATACACCCCGAGGCCGGCAAGCGTCCAGCCCGCAGCTCAACCTCTTCAGATTCCTCCAGCTCAAAGTGCAGTGTCACCCAGAGCTGTGCCAGGGCTTCCTCCGGTGGCCGTGTCTCCGAGGCCTCAGGTTCCCGGCCCACAGATGAGCATCAACCCGGACCAAACTGGAGCCCAGCTGTTTTCATCCGCCGCTCTGAGCCACCTGCAGCCGCTGCTGCTGAGAGCCCCGCTCCTCCCGGCGGGCCCCGCGTATGTGACGGCCTCGCAGCTGGAAGATGCGCAGCGACTCCTGCTGCAGCACCACCCGCTGCTATCACTGCCACGGCTGGCCGCAGGAGGCATGGCAGGCCTCGCAGGGCCGGCTGCGTCTGATGCTGCGGCCGCTCTCGGGCAGGACGGCGCTGCCGGTGCTTTTGCGGTCTCAACTGGTGCAGATGAAGACAGGTGAGACACAAACTCAGAAACTTCCTGATGCAGTGGGTTTGATGGCTGTGATTGTATCCAGTGTTATTTTAGGATAATTGAGATGCTTTTATGGTTTTTATTAATATTTTTGTTTTATTTTTTAAATATTTTAAATATTATTTTATTTTATTGATATTTTTATTTTTATTTATATATAAATTTAAATAAATTATTTATATATATATATATATATATATATATATATTATTCACATTTTTAAAAATGTCTATATAGTTTATAATATAGTATTAATATTTAGTTATTTTAGTACATCAAGTTAAACCTGATGTAAAAAAATACATATATATACATATAATAAATATTTTTTATTGATAAAATAAAAAAAATGTCTATAATTGTCTTTTCCCCCCTTTTTTTCAAGTAATGCAAAATGTTTTTTGTATCTGACCTCATTGAAGGATGAATCTCATAAAGTCCAGGTCATATTTCAAATCAAAATCAGAGAAAGTAAGAATGTTTTAGTATTTTGCAGTCCTATTTTTGGGACCATTAATATTTTTGTATATTTTTGTGACATTAACATGACATTAAACCCCAAAGTACTGTAATGCAGAACTCATTCTTTTGCGTCACGTTTCAGTAATAATCTTCATGACGTGGACGTTTGGCCCTGCAGCTGCGTGTGTATTAGTGCAGTGGTTTGTCCTTGAATGAGTCGCTCTGTTCTTCACTTCAGGCTGTTCTGTTTGTGGTCCGTGTCGGGTCAGTCTAGTGCCTCTAAATATAATTCACTCGTCTCTTTCCTGTTCCTCCTCCTCTTTTAAAACTGTCGGCCTGCTGAAGACTCAGAGTAAGCGTGTCAGGATCGCCGTGTGGTCAGCAGCACTAGCGTGTTTGATTGACGTGTGGACCGTCTGGTTGCCATAGTGACGCATCTGCAGTGACTCAGCAGAAGATGCAGTGTGGCTCTTGTGAGCGTGTGATGAACAGTCACTGATGGTCCAGGAAGAAACGTGTGATATTAAAGCAGCTGTATGCAAGGTTTTACTTTAGAATAACACTTTCAAAATCAATCTTTCTTGACTCGTTGTTTGATCAGACTGACAAAAGTGAGAACACAGTATTGGAATTAAAAATAATAACACTAAATGATCATTTTAAGTATATAGCATGCTGCAGTGTGATGTGTTTATTATTTGCGTGCTCTGTGTGCAGTCCAGTGGAAAAACCCCAGCGGCGTCACGTGACCCGTGTGTGTTTGAATCATTGATGTACGAGTCCATCGCCGTGTCTCATGTATGTAATCAGTGCAGTGATCAGCATCGGTCTGGACTTCAGCTGATTCATTCAGTGATTCCTTATTAATATTGAACATGAAACCTCAATCTGACTCTCTTTACTTTCTTAAATGATGTTCTTGGTCTTGAATCATGTTCAGTTAATAGTCATTCAGTTTTGTTCACTTACGTTTATTCATCTTGTAGAAGAGCAGCAGTGCTCACAGTCACATCAGTGTTTCACTCTGAAATCACCTTACAGAAGTCAAATGGTGTCCACTATTAGGAAATGAAGCTGAAGACTGCAGCGCTGCTTTGAATCTAACGACAGTATTTCTGCTCGTTTTGTATTGTCTTGTTTTTAGCTGATATTAGGCGCTGTCTTGATCTTAGGAAGGTCCGGTTATTGTCATGCATGTTTTGTATTTGAGTTGCATGATGTTTTCTGAGATCATGAGTGACTCAGGTGTGTTGATGGAGTTGATCTGCAGAAGCTGCAGTGCTGTATTTGTCCTGTAGGTGTCAGTGAATCTCCTTTCACAGCTGCGCTCTGTCGCATGCTTCACTGCAGCCCTATTTCTGCTGTGTGTGAGTGAGTGTGTGTGAGTGTGAGTGAGTGAGTGTGTGTGTGTGTGTGTGTGCACGTGCGTGTGTATAGTGTGTGTGTGTTTCATCAGTTTTTGCTTTATTCATCTCCTTTAGAGCTAAAATGAAATTGGATGAATCTTTCTGTCAACAAAAAAAGCAGAAAAAGAAGCCTATGTTACAGTAATGAGAAACTGTCAGGTGTTAAAATTAAAATAAAAAAGAATGTCATAATTGTTATGGTCCTCAAGTCAAATTTATTTTTCTTTGCATTCCTCCTTTTCTCTAGCTTACTTCCTAATCTAGTGTCTAATAAACTTGCCGTTGTGTATTACAGATATTGTTGACTTACTGATACGATATACTTTATTGTCCCCTTAGTGTATGCTGCATATACAATCACATATAAATTATCAAATCACATATCTCTTCACTTAAAACATACTATACAGGGGGGCAAAGCATGCAAACAAGTATATAAAAGGTCACAATGCACAACGGAACAGCCACTATTACACAATTTCCTAACCCATAAAACCTGCAATAAATAACAACACCAGCAAAAATAAAAACAAACAATATAAAACAATGCATGAAGTTAAATGATCAATGCTAACCAGAACCAAGTCATTGGCCTTTGTCCTTACCATTCAAAATTCTAATGGAAACGGGCACAAAAGTGTTTTTGAACCGGTTGAGTTAGGCACTCTATACCTTCTTAATGCGTAATATAACATCTTGTGTCTTTGTTTTGAACCATGAGCCTCATGCGTTTCTTCTTGAGACTTTTTATTCATCCAGTTATTCATCTGGAGTCAGAATCAGCTGTGTTACTGCACTGCACCATTATTTACTGTGTTATTTTTATTTTTAATTCTGCAGTAGTCTTAGGCTGTATGTGATGCGAGAGAGCTTTACAAAATGAAAGAGACTGTCTGTGTCACACATCTGGTGTTCATTAGTGTTTTCTCGTTAGCGCTCATTAGTCTGTCTGCTCAGATTCTGTCAGAGGAAACACACTGAACCAGAGCTGAACGTGTGTCCGGTTTCTGCTCCTGATGCTCCTGTTCTGTTGTGTGATGTGATGAGATGTGATGAGATGAATTCTGATGTGATGTATTTGTTGATAACAGCTCTGTTCTCATCAGATATTGGATATGGCACACTAAAGAAACTGGGTGATTGGTCTTAAATACCTCTCGCAGATAGGCATGGACAAATATGAGAGTTTGACGGTATGATAACCTTAAGCAAAAAATATCACGGTTTCACGGTGTTGTCGTTACATCTTATTTTTAAATGACTGGGAAAAAAAAAAAAAAAAAAAAATTATTTTGTTTTTGAGCAACATACAGAATATTAGGAACGTAAGAATTTGTTTATTTTTCTTTGATTTGTTTCCTAAAAAGAAGAAAAATAAAGATTGACATCTTTATTTAACCTAAATCTGTAATTACAGTTATTTAATTTTAGTTATATAATTCATATACATATCATTTCATATCATTTAGTTATATAATTTCATATACATAATTTGATTTAATAATAACCTAATTTGAAGCAAAAACAGAATGTTCTGACTAGCTTTGTGAAATTATACTGCATGCCTGAACGAAGCAAACAGCAGAAGCTCTGAATGAGACGCAGATTCACTCTCTGACAGCAGGAGGCGCTCATGGAACACCAGATACAGCGTTTCCTTGGTTACCGCTGATACAGCGTTTCCATGGTTACCGCTGATACAGCGTTTCCTTGGTTACCGCAGATACTGCGTTTCCTTGGTTACCGCTGAGTGTTACTCTCTACACTCACTCAACCTGAGGGACTCCTACACTTTCAGTCTCTGAGGAGACATGAAAAACAGCGCATACAGCAGGAACAGTATAACGGGAAATATGGAACGTTTTGAAACGTGACATTTTCAAATCGCGGTATACCTTGAAACCGGTAATCGGCCCATGCCTACTCGCAGACGTTATTTGGATTCATATTGTTTCTAGGCTGTCCATCTTATTGTATTTAGGCTATTATGCATGTTTGATGTGAATCATTAATTGCACATAAAATCACTTCTTCTGCAGTTCTTATAGTGAAGTTTGTAGTTAATTGTGTTTATTAGGGATGCTTGTTGATGTTTGTTGTTTAGTTGTTTGGATGATCATCAGACGTGCTGCAGCTTCATTCAGCTCTCACATGTCTCTGGATTAAATCTGATTAAATCATATAATCTCACGCCTGGAACATCCATCTGTGTGTGTATCCTCATCAGACATGCGTGACCTCGTCTGAGTCTCTGATCAGAAGAGTCTGATGTCTGGGGGGTGTGTTTGCGTGTGCGTGCGTGTGCGTGAGTGTGTTTGTGAGTGTGTGCGAGTGTGCGTGTGTGTATATGTTTGTGTGTGAGTGAGTGGTCAGACCTGTGCGATTCGCTCTGTCAGATCAGCGCCTGCGGTGTGACACGCTGAATTATTATCCATATATGAGCTCATTCAGATCTCAAGATTTAAAACGCTTGTCACACTGCAGGACTGCTGAGTCACTCTGGATAAAAGCGTCCACTAAATGGTTTAAAAGCTCATTAAAAATGCTGAAAACAAGAACTGTGATCTAAAATATATCCTCTCATTTAAATACATTCAACCTAAAACACTGATGCTGAAGAAAAACAAATCCATGTTATCTATCTGTCCACCATCCAGAGTTTCTCACATTTCATCACTCACATAGCAACTGTTGCTAAGGCATGCTGATTGGCTGAAGTCTCTGTGCTCTTACGTAAGAGTCATGATGGGAGCGAGTCGTGCAGCACATCCTTCAGCTACACACACTCTCACACACACACACACACACACACACTCACTCACTCACTCACTCACTCACTCACTCACTCACTCACTCACTCACTCACTCACTCACTCACTCACTCACTCACTCACTCACTCACTCACTCACTCACTCACTCACTCACTCACTCACTCACTCACTCACTCACTCACTCACTCACTCACTCACTCACTCACTCACTCACTCACTCACTCACTCACTCACTCACTCACTCACTCACTCACTCACTCACTCACTCACTCACTCACTCACTCACTCACTCACTCACTCACTCACTCACTCACTCACTCACTCACTCACTCACTCACTCAC